TATTGGCAGAATCTGTTTTATTAGTCTTCTTCCCTCACTCTTTCTGATGATCATAATGCTTGTGTTTTCAATCTTCTAGTACCCCCCCGCCCCAATCTTTTGCTTGTTGCTTTGGTTTGGGGTAACATTTCTGAGTCATATGTAACTCATACAATAACTCTATCATAGTGGGTCAACAGGAAGAGTCGTCCTTTCAACAATTACTTAGCCCCCCGGATTTAGAAAATCATTCGGTATGCCCTCCCTACGCACCACATCTTGCATATGCTTGAAGATAGTAATCAAATATCTTTCTGAGAAATTGCAATTCACTGATATTTCTTAACAAACTAGACTGTGGTGATCATTTAGCAATATATACAAATATCAAATCATCATGTATACCGGAAACTAGTATAATGCTGTCAATTACACCTCAATTAAAAAAAAATAAAAATAGGCATTTTTCTTACTGTCCTTCGAGTGGCATTCTCAAAAAAAAATAGTTTGGCCCTATTGTAGTTTAATGTCACAATATCTGACATAATCCTTAATGCTTGATTCAAAATGTTATTGTCTGTCATGTATCAGAAAACTCATTCATACATTCATTCACTCATTTATTCAGTTAATATCTACTGATCACCTATGATGTGCCAGGTATTGCTCCAGCCTCTGGGTATTTGATGATGAATAAGACATACAGATAAGATGAAATTCTTAAGGATAACAAGTAAACAAGCAATTATAATATTTGATAAATGCTATGAAATTATTAGCAGAAAGGCAGCTTTATATTCTGTACTTAAAATCTCTGACTGCACTGCAAAATTTAAAAAAAAATTTGAGGTTAATTAAGCTAGGGGAAATTTCTTAAGTTTTGATTACAAAGGAATGAGGGGCACACTACATATAGTTATTAGAAAGAACAATATAAAAGGTGAAGCTCTTCTACCGGTAAAGGCTTGTAGTCAAACAAGCAAACTGCTGTTCATATAAGTGTTTCCAACCAGAGTCTATTTATTCACTCAGATAGGGGTAAGTACAGCCAAGTGAGGAGAGAGATGACTGAGGGCGATGCCTTTTGAATTGGGTGGTCAGGGAAGGTCCCCCTAAAGGAGGGAAAATATGAGCAGGGACCTGAATGCTGTGAGGAGTTAGTACTAAGGGGAGATCCCAGTGAAGAAAATTCCAAACAGAAGGATTAGCCAGAGTAAGGGTCTTGAAGTAGAAATAAGCAATGTAGATTCAAGGAAGGCCAAGCAAGCCTGCATGGCCAAAGAAGTATGAGAGAGGGAGAGAATGTGAGGTGAGGGAAGAGAGGTAGCTGTGGAGAGAACTGGGCACAGACAGGCAGATCATGCAGGGCTCTCAATGTCACGGTAAAGAGTCTGGATTTTATTGTAAATGTGATGGGAAACCATGAAAGAGTTTTGAGTAAGGAACTGTCACAAACTGATCTATATTTTCTGAGAGTCGCTCTGGTTGGGGTATAAAAACTGACCACAGGCAGGAGTGCAATAGTTGATATACGTAAGGAGACCAGTTTGGAAGTTGCAGCAATAGTCCAAGAAGTGGTGACAGCCACTGAGGTGACAGCATGGTGATAAATGGCACGCTGGAGATGTGGTGAAGATAGAGCTGAAAGCGACTGCTGATGGATTGGAGATGATACACAGGTTTTCAGCTTGAGTATTTGGCAAATTGTGGTGCCATTAGTTGAGCTTGGGGTGGAAGGGAGGAGTGAACAAACAAATCAAGGGTTTTGAACACGTTAGGTATGAGATACCCAGCACACATCCAAGAAAAGGTACTGAGTGTGCAGTTGGATTGACAAAAAAATAGTATATATGCTGGGGAAATGTTAGGGCTTGGGGTCAAAATTAGGAGATACCAGCATGGGGATAGTCTATAAAGCTAGCGTCTCCAATGAGATCTCCAAGGGAACACCAAGGGGTGAATACAGATAGAAAACGGGAGAGGGGTGAGCACGCAGTTCCCAGGCCGTCGGGCCTAGAACTGCAAAGGAGAGCCAGCAAAGGAGCCTGAGGATGCTGCTGGCATGGCAGGAAGAAACCCAGAAGCATATCTCCTGGGAGCCAAAAAAAGAAGATGTTTTAATAAAGAGGTAGGTTGTTATCAACTTTATCAAAAGTTGCTGAAAGGCTGAGTCAGAATATCAATTTATATAAAAAGAAAACTCACATAGAAATATGAAACAAAATATTAGGGGATCTGAAGTTATTTGT